CTTCCCATCCACCGTCCCCCCTTCCCTCCCACCCACCGTGGTCCAGCCTGGGAGCTGCAGGTCAGGATGGAGATAGGGTGGGTGTTTCTCCTAGTTCATGCTCATGGCTGAGATCAGCAGGCGGCAGTGTGGCGAAGGTTAGGTGGCTGTGGCTGGGTTGCAGGCATGAAGCGCACGCTCTGGTGCCTTCACTGTTGCTTTGCCTGGTGGGGCACAGGGAGCAAGACGACCCATGGCTGCACAGAAAGCCCAGGGCCTGCGCCCTCCTGATAACATCCACGCTGGTCTGCAGCAAGGAGTGGCTGGGCTTGGATAAGTGCCTGTGGCAGGAACTCTTTAGCAGATGCCAAGAGTCATGTCAAATGGGGTCAAGTGGCCCACGGTAATTTATGGGAGGTCAGTTCTGCTTCTGCCCCCCAGGTCTGAGAGCTCTAGACAAGTGGCCATTCCCTGAACCTCTCTGTCCCACATGAACCACTAGTGCTGTGCAGCAGTGTCCGAGACCCGTGGGCCGAGCTGGCGGGGAGGCTCCTATACTTGCCAGCATTCCCCTTGAGGGGCTGTCCAGGGCAGAGGGCTGATGGGGCAGCATCACCTGGGACCCTGGGCCCATTGGCATCTGCCGCCACATGGAAAAGTCAGGGGACCTGTCAGCTTCCCGAGCCTGAGGACTGGCTGGGAATGGGCTGCTCTGCCCTGCCAATCAGCTTTCTCTCCAGCCTCAAGATCCCTGGACTGACTGCACTTTTACCCCCCATCGCGTGCTCTTGGCACACATCACAAATCAATAATGCTAAACCTAGAGTGGCCTCCAGATCCTCTCATCACAGCATGCCAGACAGCACTTCCCATTGATCGTGTCACCTGATTGCCATCCAGCCCTGAACCTGCCCTTGTAACTGGCCCCTGGGTTAGGAGGTGTAGGAAGATGAAAGGATGAACAATATGCTGCCCCTGGTTATAGGACACTCAGCCTTGGGTTAGAGGAGATCAGATCTTATCTAATAAAAAAATAACTGGGAAGGACTCATTCATTCATTCAGCAAATGTTTATGGAGTCCTTGATATGTGCTGGCATCATTTCAGCATTGAGAATACAGCAGTGAACCAAATAGGCACATCCTTGCTTTTGTGGAGCTGCTCTTCCGATAGAAGAAATAGGTGATAAGTGAACAAAATAATATTTAAAACAATGTTAGGTTGTGATACGTGCTATAAAGGGGTAGGAGGGTGAAGTGTGCCATGGATCGGGTGTCATTGAGGCGAGGGGGAGGCTTTCCAGGCAGAAGGGCCAGCAAATGCAGAGCCTGTGTTTGGTGCACATGAGAAATTTGCTGGGGGTGAGGGGGGAACAGGAGAAGTCAGGCGGGGGCCAGGCCATGGAGGGCTTTGTGGGCCCTGAGAACTTAGCATGAAAACCAAAGTGTAATGTGCAGCAGCCTTTGGAGAGTTTTGAGGTGCAACTATCATGATTTTGTTTCAAAACGATCACTCTGGCTGTTGTGTAAAGAATATACAAGGCTAAGAGCTGCCGCAGGGAGACCCTCTGGAGGCTGTTCCTTGGTCCAGCTGGAAACCACGGCGGCCTGGACTAGAACTGTAGCATGGAGAGGATAGAGGCAGTAGGTTTGGGAGCCAGCAGTTTGCTGCTAGATAGACATGGGGGGATGGAGAAAAAAAAATAAGAGGAGACAAAGATGACTGCAAAGTTTGTGGCTTGCACAGATGGGTGAATCTTTTGCTGAGATGGACAGAGCTAGGAGAAGCAGGCTGCAGGGTTTTCTTTTTTTTTTTTGTCTGTTTGGTTTTTTTCTTAGCTGAGCCATCCTGCCACCTGTTGGCAGCTCAGCGGCAGCTCAGCTCGGGCCGGGACTCGAACCGCTGTTGCTCAGAGCTCACACTCTTGATGCAGGGTTTTATGGGGGGATCTGCAGTTCCGAACTGGCTAGCAAGTTGCCTGTTGGACACCCAACTGGGGATGGTATTGGGTATTGGAACCTGGAGTGTAGGAGAGAGGACAGGGCAGGGATCTATGTGGCTCAGATGATATCTAGTGCCATGAGACTGGGTGAGATTGCTGAGGGGATGGGGGGTGGAACAGAAGGCAGGCAATAGTCATCTTGGAGAATGGGGAAAGAATGGACAAGGGCAGTGACAGAGCAGCACCTGACATGTGGCGGTAATTGCTAAATATCGGTTGGGTGAGGATGGATGGATGGATGGGTGGATGGATGGATAGATACATGCATGCATGAAATGTAGGACTGCTGTGCAGTGCTGAGTTTCTAACGGCCCACTGGGAATGTAAAAACGGTAAGTGCTCTGAGATTTCATGAGATCACAGGGCTGGGGATAGGCCAACGCAGTTTTGGGGAAGTAAAAGGGATATTTTTCTAGCCTGGGAGAGCAGCCAAGATTCAGAGGCAGTTGGAGTAAAGGGAAAGGTACATTGAAGGGAATGGCATTAGCTAAATTCGGAATGTGCGAGGCCTGTATAACAGTCTGTCACAGGTAAAGGAGTTGGACTGGGTGGAGGGTTCTTATAAAGGGGGAGTTGATACAATGGGATGGCTGAAGCCCCCCAGGGCCAAGAGGGTAGGGAGAGCGGCGAGATAGTGCGAGAGCCTTCCCCAGAGCCCTGTCTTCATTCTCTGGCCTTCACCCTCACAGATCTCGAGTGACCCCACGGAGGCTAAGCACACCAGGCCCACTCCTGCCTCCCATGCTGGAGAGCCGAGCAGCCTGGGTGTGGCACCTGGCAATACGTTCTCTGGTCTCTGAGGTAAGGAGGGCATGGGGCTTATGATCCTCATTTTTAATAGATGAAGAGTGAGGTGCAGGCAGGCCCCAGGACTCACCTCCTCAGGGGGCAATAGGGACGCAGTCTCACCCCCAGATGTCCAGCAGTTCTTGCTGAGTTTGCGCCTGTGGCCTCTACTGAAGGGGTTGCCTGTGTCTCTTGTGTTAGGACAGGGGCAGGCAGGAATACCTGTTTACATCACACCTTGAGGAAGAGGGTACTGGCTCTGTGCCCATGGAAATGGCATCTTTGCTTGTAGGCTGCGTGACGGACGGCTGCTTGTGTGGGAGGACTGGCAGGGGCCCCTTAACCCTCCGTCAGGTGCAACTGATCTCACAGGTTCATTGCACACAAATTTTCAAATATCTAACAGTTAACTTAAGAATCGTGACTCATTGCTTCCATATCTTCCCCCTCTATCGTAACCTTTCGCCAGTCGTGTTTGTGACTTAGTACAGTAAAGACATATTTCATAGCTGCATCCTTGTGTGCAATGAATCTGTGAGATCAGTTGCGCCCTACGGAGGGTTAAGTCCCAACTTTAGTGATTAAGGAGTCCTTAGGAATATAAATGGTTGGTGGTCAGCCAGGCCCGTAGATGTTATGCAGAGGCTGCTGGAGGCCAAGACCGAACTGCAAATATGGATCTTTTTTCTCCATTGGAAGTCACCTCATTTCCCCCCTGGGGCCCTCGGTGTTTGTTCATGTTCGTCAGCTATGGAGCCTGATGCTGTGGCAGCTGTTAGGTATCATCAGTGAGAAAGAACTTGTTTTCACAGATATTTAATACTTTCCCTAAATCAGGAGAACCTTCCCCTACACTGATGTAATCTACTGAGGCTTTTGGAGTTTTTTGTTTGATTTTTGCATTGCAAATATCCTTCTCTTCCCCTTCCTAAAAACCGATGTTTTCCTTTTTTTGCTGTTGTTGTTAAATTAACTAGGATTACAAATACTTAAATGGAGTAAAATGCCTTGGGTTATGCAAAAAGGGTCACCCTGACCCCCCTGTCCCTGGCTATGGGTAGGTGGTCACTGACCCCAAAGCATGGGGAGAACTGCACATGGAGCCCACTATCTAGTCTAGTCCTGGGGCCCCCTGACCTCATGGTGCCACGTGACCTGTTACTGCACTGTCATTTGATGCTTGTCTTAAGGGCTGACGCACTCCTCCCATTCTCCCCACCTCACCTCGCACCTGGTGGCAGCTCCTACCTGATTCCCAATGCCTCATGGCAGGCCCGTCTTCCTCTTGTCAGATCAGCTCCCTATGAGACAAATGGAGTTTCAACACTCAGTAGTTGAGAAAATGGGCGGAGGAAAGGCAGGGTCCATCCAGAGGAAAAAGAGCTGGCCTGCCATGGAGGACGGTGGCGTCTCTGTTGGGGGGAGGGGTGTTAGCTGACTTGAGCCGAATTGATTCCTAATCCTGACATTAAACATATTCTGAGGCTGTCACATCATCTCACACCAAAATGAATTAAAATGGACTTGAAAGTGGACAAGACTAATGTCACTATAACCCCCTTTTATTCTGAAACCCACCACCAGGGATGGGGGGAAGCCAGTTTAAAATCCTGGACCATGCGATTGACCACTGACGGATACAGCACCCGCTCCAGCCTCATCACCAGGAGGGTGGTGGTTCTCGGAATTACCTACCCAAACCCCAAAGCAAACTCAAATCCCTGGCCTGCAGCCCTGAGAGACAAACAGTTCTTGATAATCTGCTGAGGAGCAGTTACTTGGGGCCTGTGTTGAATTTACTTACCCTGGGTACCACCCAGCCGTCTCTTCCCTAACCGCCCACCTCCCTGATCAGGGCTGAACCAGAGGAGGGGTGTGGGGTGGTAGGTAGAGAGGGCCTGCAAGGGTGAAAAGACAGCTTTGCTGGCTTTTAGGCAGGGAGAAGGGTAGGATAGACCTCAAGTAATATTTCAGACTGAGCCTGCTCTAGGGGCGCCGGTAGCTCTCCAGAACCCCCCACTTTGGCACCCACTAAGGACTGTCGTATCCCCTCAAAAGCCGTTTAACCCCAAACTGCTTCAAAACTTGCATTCCCTTAGAGCCACTCATAAGCCACAGCATTCCACACGGAATTAAACAACAACAAAAAAACGCAAACGCTTCCTCTCCTCATTCCCAGAGAATCACACCTTCTCCCAAATGCGTCCAGAAATGCAAGCTTCGACTGTGCACACATACTGCTGATTATATTCATTTATGTGGATCGTTTCCATTTAAGCCTAATTACTGTTCTGGAAGCTAACTCGCATGTTTATCCTTAAATATGTGTCAAAATAACTTGGGTGGGAGTTGTATTTAAGGCAGTGGAGAAATACAAAGAACATTGTTTGGGAGTGAGATGGCGCTCATTTTATCCCTCCTTTCTTTCCTCAGTGGTGCTGGGCAAGAAGTTAATGTCTCTCAACCCGTTTTCTTTTCTTGGAATATATCATTCCTGTCCTGCCTACCTCGCAGACTTGCTAGGAGGATCACATGAGATATGGGTCATTTGTTCACAGACACTCCTAGGTACAAGTCTCAGTGCAACAGCGGGCCAGACAGACCATCGCTGCCCACACACGGACTTGACGGTTGTCTGGACGACAGAAGGTAAATGAGCAATGTGTACTTGACAAACATTTATTGAGCTTTTACTGTGTGGCAGGTACCGTGCTAAGCACTTTTCAAATATCACCTTAATTTAATCCTTGTAACAGTGCTGTGTGGAAGCTATTCCTGTGGCCGTTTTCCATATGAGGAAACTGAGGCGTAGGGGGTTACATCGCTGGGCACGAGTGTGGTTATGGCAGAGCCAGTGCTTGCCTCAGAGTCACTCTGCTGTGACGACAGTGGAGGGGGACTGCAAGGTGCCAGGGGAACTGAAATGATGTGAAGGCACTTTGAGAACTGCAATTATGTGAGTGATATCCGGCCACCTTAGCCATATTCTGTGGGTTAGAAGTAAGTCACAGGACCCGCCCACACTCAAGGGAAGGGAACCACAGGAGGGTATGAGAACCAGGAGGCCACCATCCCAGGGGCCACAGGAGGGTCTGTCCACCACAGTGTCTGATTCTGTTTATGGATCTTTTGTCCTCGTAGTGTCTTGTCATGTCAACAGTTTACAGCTTACAAAAAAGAAAGTAAGGACCCGCCTCTCGCTGTTCTTAGATTTTTTTTTTTTTCCTGATCCCCCTAGATTATGAGGACTTGCCCTCCAGGGAGTTAACAATCGTGTCCATGGTTAAATGTCCCAGGAGTTCTAGGAAAGAGAAACGGAGCTGCAGAAACTTGAGGCGGAGTCAGCAGAGAGAGAAGGGAGAGCCCCGTGAAGAAGACAGACATTTAATCAAAACTCTCAGACTCACCCATTCTTTTATTTATTCCTTTATTCATTCATGCCCGTGTTCACGTGGCAGGCACATGTGGTAGGCTCCTGTGCTGTGTGCCCCAGAGCATGCTGGGTGCTGACACAGACGTGGCCACCTCCCCCTGCATCCAGGACAGTGTTAAAGAGAGGAGAGGGTGGGACGCGCTCTGCCTGGGACATCGTGGGCGGCTCTCTCCCCATGGGTGGGGGGACCACCCTGGAGTTCACTGCAGGGACAGGCAGACAAAGGGAACAGTAAGCTGCTTCAAACAGAACAAACACCATTTACCTTTTCCTGCTGTGTAGTGTGTGACAGTGGCCTGAAGGCCCCCCGCCTCGCAGTGCTGGGCCTTTTAGTGGTGTTGGGTGTGTCTTGCAGTATCGCCATTCCGTCTGTTGTTCTCTGCACCTCGTCTCTCCTTGGTTTTGTCAGTGAATCTGGTCTCAGCAGACCTTCTCCTCCCTTTTGAGTCGCTGCTTCTAAATTATTGTGGGGCCGTTGAGCCCCATCCCGAGTACCAAGTCAGCACTGTGTGTCGGTCGGGTACCAGGCAATACAGCCGATCTGAAGAGCAAGCCTGCCCCCACCCCAGCAGTGTCACAAAAGGGAATGGGTGTCATTTGAAAACAGCTTTGCTTTGATTTCATTGCTTTTGCTTGGTATTAGTCATGTCGTTTACTTGATTTTGTGTCTCAGCTAACTACAAAGTTGGGGTGATGTGTTTATCCAAGGAGAGTATAGATGAATAGAATATGAGACTATTAACAACCCAGTGTTGGGGGTCACAGTACATCCTGAGGGAGGGCGGGAACTTGGTGACTCCAGGAGTGTGTTAGTTCCCTGTGGCTGCTGTACAAAGCACCACAAACTAGTGGCTTGAAACAACAGAAATTTCTTCTCCCCGTTCTGGAGGCCAGAAGTCCAAAGTCAGCAGGGCCACCACACGCCCTCTGGATGCTCTGGGCAGCGGCCTTCCGGGCCTCACCTAGCTGCTGATGGCCTCCTGGCAGCCTGGGCTGTGTCTGCATCACCCCAACCTCTACCTCCGTCTTCACATCACCTTCTCTGTGCCTCCTCTTCCGTCTCAAACCTCCATAAGGACACCTGACATTGGATTTAGGGTCCACGCAGATGATCCAGGGTGATCTCATCTCAAGGCTCTTAATTAGTCACATTTGCAAAGACACATTTTTCCAAATGCAGTCATGTTCACAGGTTCCAGATTTGATGTGGATAGCCTTGGAGGGGAGGGGAGAGTGTTTTTCAGGGATGCAGCTAAAGGCTTTAGAACAGTGCCTGGCACATAGTGGGGCCACTTGATATTGCTGCTGCTGCTGCTGCTGAATTACTCATCTTTTCATTCATTCACTGAGTGTCCGGGTGCTCTCCACCCCCTGGCCCACCCCTATGCTGGGTGCCAATATACAGAAGTTAAGTGAGGCATGCCCTGCCCTCCAGGGCCCATGGGCAGGTGTTTCCGGGTGTCTGAGGTCTGCTCTGAGCATGGTGCTTGGTTAAGTGGACTTCCCAGGCTGGGTCTGTGCTCCTGAGCACACTTACGATGTGGTTACTTTGGGGCGTGGCATTTCTGTTTCCGAGCCCCCAATTTACACATAAACGTATGAAAAGTCCAAATCATTGTTAACTTCGAAATTAGGTGTGCTCAAAGGCAGTCTCTACTGTAAGCATATTTCCTTACATTTACAGTTTTTAAAAGACTTTTCCACCTGCCGCCTCACCTGTGTTGTGCCTCCTCTTGTACAGATGCTACTCCGCCACTCAGCCAGCTCATGAAGCTGGCGCAGGATGTGAGCCCGGTTCCCGACTGACTGCAGGCTGGCCTGCAGCCCCGCCTGTATTCCTTCTACCTCCCATCCTCCCTTGCTCCTTCAGCAGACCTTTATTGACATCTGCTCTGCCCTGTCTCCTGTGCTAGGTGCTGAGAATACAAAAAGGGAACTCACCTTGAGTCTAGTGAGGAAGGCTGACAAGTGATGGAGCGAAGCTCGAGGTGGGCACTGGGCGCCCATAGTTGGGGTGTACCATGCTTCCCCTGGGAGTGGGGCGGGGCAGGGGGGGCCGCTGACCAAGGCCTGAAGGGCAAGTAAGGGTTGTATGGTGAAGCTGGCAGGGAGGGTTTTCAAGGCAGAGAGGCCGACCCCGCAAGACACAGAAGTAGGAGAGCCAGCATCCGACTGGGCAGAAGGCCCTGGTCTGTGATCTCAGGAAAATCTCCCTTTCCACGGCCACGCCTACAATGAGCTGGTTTGTGGCTGAAAATTAAAAGTTAGAGCTTCATTCTTTTGGCTTAAATCAGACAGCAAATTTAACCTCAGATGCAAAATCCCCTGAACCGAATGAGGCTCCTGCTCAGTCCATCAGTTTGTGGGTCGGGGTGTCTGGTGTTCTTCTGAGGGCAGGTTTGGCTCAGTGAACCAGAGGTCAGGCAACGTCTGAGGATGTCGGATACTTGAGAGTGTAGATGGAAAGCATGTGGGGACAGCAGCAGAAGGAACAGCACTTGGGGGGTCCACAAACATCCCTCCTTTGTAATTTCGGGCCAACCTGGAGCTGTCCGGCCACATTCAGACACTGGGTCCTGATGTTCTTCCTGGAGCTCTTCCCTTTGGAGGGCAGGAAGTAGGCTCCCTCATTAACTTCCTGCCCAGTGCAGCGAGTTCGTGTCTGTCTGTATCTCTCCAACTCTTCCCTCCTGTGTCCCGGATCCCAGAGCTGGCAGCCTTCACGGAGTGCCCAGACCCCAAGCTGGGGTTGCAGGGAGTCACTTCTCTGTTTTGTGACCCTGTGGGGCAGCCCCTCTGTGGCATCGAGTGACTTCTCCGTCCAGCCCACTAGGAATATCGCTTTTGTTTGCCTTTGTACCTGTATATTCTTAAGCTAAAGACACATAGAGACAGCCTTCAGATCATTTTATCAACCTGCCCCTTTTTCTTAACAGCAGTTTGCAATATATACTGTGCCGTTAAAAAGTGATATTGTTATGGCCAAACTTGCATTTCTAGTTTTGCCGTTGATGTTAATGGGAAGTAGATGCCCATGAGACTGTTAGAGCATGTGAGATGTCCCAGCCCCGGTCAAGGTCAGCTCCTGTCCACCCAGCTCCGGCCCTGTTTCTGGGTGTCTGGGATCCTCGGGCAGGACAGGGAGACTTAGGGAGGTGCAAGGTCTTGGGGACACATTTGTGACAGTTAGTCATCAGGCTGCGGGTAGCAGAGTCAGCCGAGGGGAGCCCAGAACTCTCACAGTGGAGAGAGGTAAATTTGTAGCAGGAGCAACAATGCTGAGTCTCAGGCCTGGAAAACCAGATCAGGGGTTCTGAGGGCTGGGAAGTGGGGCGCAGTGGTGGCCAGCATGGCCGTTCCAGAGACTGTGCCTTGTTCTAACAGAGAGCAGGCTGGGTGGCAAGAAGGCGCCAAGCTGAAAGGTAAAGTCACATACATTTTAGCCGCATGTGACTTTCTTCCTCATCATGAACCTCAGGGGTGAGTTGTGGGTCCAGAACCTCGTTGTGGTCTGAGGGGACCCTCGGTGGTAAGAGCCACCTGCTTGGGGGCGTTGGCAGGAGACGTGGGAGTGTAGAGCCTGCAGCCTGCCTCCTACATGGGCGCCTGGCCTGGTGCGTGAGCTGGTTAATCCCGTTTGCTGAGATTAGAGAGAGCTGCTCTCCGGTCACCTCTGTCCTTTCCCTCTGGCCTTTGCAGAGTCACACTTGGGGCAGTTGCCTGGGGTCTGGTGATCCTGATCAGCAGCCTGTGTGAGACTGGAGTGGAGAGCTTCCTGAGTGGGTGAAGTGTGTGTCCAGAAAAGCGGGCTTAGACGCGAAAGATTCTGCCCTCACTCTTTCTTTTTTTTTTTAGTGTTCTTTTAAAATTATAAAATTAGTAATAATACTCATAAAAACTCAAACAATCCAGAGGTAGATGAAGTTACTGGGTTGGACCCATTTCTGGCCTGCCTGTCCCCTCCCCACTCCTCAAAGGTGGCCACTGTCAGCCCTGGGCGTGTGACCTTCGTATCCACCCTGCTCCCAGGTGGCTTCTGTTACTGTTTGCTGGGCCTTGTGGCAGACCAGAAAAACCTCTGGGAGTGTGAGGTGCTCCTTGTTTCCAGAGCTTCAGGCTCAGTGAACCCTGTTACTCAGGTGTCCCCCACACTCAGTGTGTCTCTGGAGGTCTGGGGTGGAGTCTCTGGCTGGACTCAGCTCGGGGTGGGGGCTGG